ATTTTGAACCAGACCATTGTTCCATGTCTGATTCTAATTGTTGCTTCTTGAGCCACATTCAGGTTTCTTGGGAGGCAGGTCAGATGGTCTGGTATTCCCATCTCTTGAAGAATTTTCCACAGTTTGGTGTGATCCACACAGTCAAAGGCTTTGGCTTAGTCAATGAAGCAGAAGTAAATGTTGTTCTGGAACTGTCTTGCTTTTTCTGTGACTCTGCAGATGTTGGCAATTTGATCTCTGGTTCCTCTACTTTTCTAAATCCAGCTTGTACATCTAGGAGTTCTTGGTTCACATACTGTTTAAGCTTAGCTTGGAGAATTTTGAGTATTAGTTTGCTAGCATGTGAGATGAGTATAATTGGGCAATAGTTTGAATATTCTTTAGCCTTGCACTTCTTTGGGATTGGAATGAAAACTGACCTTTGCCAGTCCTGTGGCCACTGCTGAGTTTTGCAAACTTGACATATTGAGTGCAACACTTTCACAGCATCATCTTTTAAGATATGAAATAGCTCAACTGGAATTCCATCACCTCCACTAGCTTTGTTCATAGTAATGCTTCCTAAGACCCACTTGACTTCATATTCCAAGATGTCTGATCTAGATGAGTGATCACACCATTGTGGTTATCCAAGTCATTAAGATCTTTTTTGTATAGTTCTTCTGTGTATTCTTGCCACCTCTTCTTAATATCTTCTGCTTCTGTTAGGTTCATACCATTTATATCCTTTATTGTGCCCATCTTTGCATGAAATGTTCCCTTGGTATTTAATTTTCTTGAAGAGATCTCTAGTCTTTCTCATTCTATTGTTTTCCTCTATTATTTGCATTGTTCATTAGGAAGGCTTTCTTTTCTCCTTGCTATTCTTTGGAACTCTGCACTCAGATGGATATATCTTTCCTTTTCCCCTTTGCCTTTTGCTTCTCTTCTTTTCTCAGCTATTTGTAAGGCGGCCTCAGACAACCATTTTGCCTTTTTGCATTTCTTTTTCTTGGGGATGGTTTTGATCATTGTTTCCTGTTCAATGTTACGAACCTCCATCCATAGTTCTTTAGGCACTCTGTCTATCAGATCTAATCCCTTGAATCTATTTGTCACTTCCATTATATAATCGTAAGGGATTTAATTTAGATCATACCTGAATGGTCTAGTGGTTTGCCCTACTTTCTTTAGTTTAAGTCCAAATTTGGCAATAAGAAGCCACATTCAGCTCCTGGTCTTGTTTTTGCTGACTGTATAGAGCTTTTCCATCTTTGGCTGCAAAGAATGTAATCAATCTGAATGGTATTGACCATCTGATAGAGTCATCTTTTGTGTTGTTGGAAGAGGGTGTTTGCTATGATCAGTATGGACTATGCTGTATAGTATAGTGAGTTGGATACACATATAGAAACATTCTTTTATATTCTTTTCCCTTGTGGTTTATTACATTTTATTGAATACAGTTCCCCATGTTAAACAGTAGAATCTTGTTGTTTATCCATCCTATATATATTAGTTTGCATCTACTAATCCCAAATTTCCAATCCCTCTCTCCCCACTCCCACCCCTGACAACTACAAGTCTTTTCTCTATGTCTATGATGTTTTTTTCTGTTTTGTAGATGTGTTCATTTCTCTCATATTTTAAATTTCACATAAAGAGTTATCATATTGTATTTGTCTTTTTGACTTACTTTGCCAGTCTCTAGGTCCATCCACGTTGCTGCAAATGACATTGTTTCTTTCTTTTTATTTACTCTTTTAAAAGAGTAATCTTCCTGTTAGACTTTTCTTGATATCTTTTTTCTTGCATCCTCTTTTTTCTTCACTGTTTAAATTGCTGTCTTCGCTGGCTTCTTATCTCCTTCGTGATGCATCTGTATTTTCTTCACGGTTCTTCCTTCTGTGCCCTAGCTGCCAGATACCTGCCCAGTGGCCCTGAATAAGTATGACTCAGCTTTTATCTCTTTCAGCTTATTTACTCATGAAGCTTCAATTATTATTTTTAATTATGCCATTTCATTATTATCATTTATAATTCTGTTGTGTTTTTTACATTTGATTAAATAGTTCATGTGTTACCTTTAATACACCTACCAGTTGCTATAAATGTTTTTCCTGAACTGTCCTTCACATCCTGAATTATCCTGTGATGTGCCTGATACACTTGACAGATGAGGAAACTGAGAGTGAGAGGTTAATGTCTTGCCCATGAGTTACCACATCAAGTTTTAAGTGGTAGATCTGGAAGTCATTCTCAGGCCTGGATCTTTCTGTTTCTTTCTCACTTCATCCATCCAAAATGCATGTACTGAGTGTGTGCCATGTGCCAGGCAGTGTGCTAGGCTCTGGCACACCCTGAAAAACTGATGCACAGTCTAGGGCCACCATGCATCACTGTTGCCACAGCCCACACTTTCCAGAACACTGTCAAGGGCCCTGTGCTGGGTGAGCCCTGCTCAGGTGCTTTCACTTCCCTCTTTCATCCTTGCTTCAAGCTTCAGATTTCTAAATAAAAATTCACGAATTGCCTTTCTTTATGCAAGCTACCTGCTCTCCCCTCCAAAATGACATGCGTTTCTATCCCATTACCCCGTCTCTTTCATTCAGCACTTTCAGTGTACATCCAGGCCCTCTTGGTGGAGTTCTCCTTGACAATGTTTCTTTCATCTGTCTCTACCTCCTCATCTCCTCTATCCACCATTCTAACATCAGCTCCCACGTCCTCATTTCTTGATTTATGAAAGCCTCGAAGCTGGGTTCTGATTAGTTTTATTCTCTGCTTCAGAATTCACTAGACTCTAAGCTTCCTAAAGGCCTAGAGGGCTGCTCATTGATTCTCATTTCCAGAACACTGTCCAAGTCACACGAGAGACATTCAGATGACTACTAAAGCATCTTTGATGTTTAGATCACGATTCTCAAACTTGATCTGGGGTTTATCTGGAGATGACAAGTAGCTTTCTTGGAAGGTTATGAGAATGTATTACATGTAGCTGTTGTCTGCATCTCAATAATATATACTATATATTTTAAACCAACTCTTATTTCTGCTTTCTTCCATTAATGTTTGCTCCCATGTAATTTTTTTTCCCATCTGCTGGCATCAGAGCAGAAATTTATGGTTAAGAACTGATAAATACTCCTTCCATTAGAGAACACAACTCTTCCAATTTTTTCTGATGCTACTATAACTCCATAGAAACACAATTTGAGAACCACTTTAGGTTACAGAGAGGTTATGAGCCATTCAGAATTTTAGATGTTCTTGGATAGGCCAGCTTCATGCCTGTCCCCAAGAGGGTTTCTCCCATTTTGCAGGAAAAAGCTACTGTGTATTTTCTGAAGCCTTGGAGTCACTGTTTGTATCTCAGGGAACTGACGGGCAGAGGATTGGTGTGCCAGTACTTTCTTCCTGGCTTTCTTGTCTCACCTGGTCCATCTCTCCATGATTCATGGTTGGGAATTCATGGTTGGGAATTCATTGTTGTCTCATTCCCAGGAGGGATATTTGTGCAGACATGGTTGACATCATTGTGACCATCAAATTCTGTTTTACCATCTCCTCCTTTTTCTCATTAGAAGTAAATTATCAGCACAGTTAGTAATACTCATGGAGTGAAAGAAATTTTTTTTCTTAAGAATATTTTGAAGATGTTAGACTTGTGGCATTTCTAAATGTGCATTATTACTTTTAGAAATCATTCATCTAGATGACTATTCAGAGGATATATATGCTTTCTTCAGAACTCAAACCAAAGCAGATTAGTAATTGTAAATAATTCTGTCCCAAAATAAATCTTTTTGTAAATGACTTAACACTGAATACAGCTTTTATTCCTTAAGATAGTAGGCTTTTTAATAAGGATAATAACTATAATTTAATGTATTTATTATATAATAGCATGCAAACTGATGCAGAAAATCTTGAATGTTATGTAATAGATGCCATTGGACCATAGCTCTTGATGAATCATGTTTTGGAGCTAAGCATCTGCCAGTAGTGGAGTTTTGTTTTCTGTTGTTTCTTTTTAAACTTAAAAAAATTTATTTGGAGTAGATTTGCCTTAAAGTCTTTTTTATTCAGTTGGAAACTGAGGTGCAAAACCTGGCTTTACTGTGTTACACAGCAATTGCTATAGCATTTATTTTGTTGGGTAAGTGATAGAGTGGAATTTCCAAAAGCTGTCTTCAATGAACAAATGGTATCTTTCTGTAACAACTGTATCAGATCACATTTGATCATAAAAATACTGCATCTGCACTGGGTTTGGAGGATTCAGCAGTGTATAAAATGGACAGAGTCACTGATTTTTTGGAGCTTACGTTTTAATGTGGAATTGTAAATAAGCAGCATAACTTTAGGTAGTGAGAAGTGCTATGAAGAAAATCTAAAAGCAGTGTGTTAAAGACTGAAGGAGAGGGATAATTTGGTTAGAGAGATCAGGAGGCACTCATTGGGAGGTGACACCAGCGCTGAGCTGATGATCCATGCTAGGCAGAGTCAGCTTTGTGAAAATCTAGGGGGAAGCAAGTATGAAGGTTGGAACAAGGAATCAGCACTGTGTGTTCAAGAAACAAAAGGCCAGAGAGGCTGGAGGTTAGGGGACAAGGTGAACGTGGCAGGAGGTGGGACGGAATGACTGGCTGAGTTCAAACATTGTTATGTGTTACAGGCAGGAGGAGAAAGGGATGACAGAGGATGAGATGGCTGGATGGCATCACCGACTCTATGGGCATGAGTTTGAGTAAACTCCGGGAGTTGGTGATGGACAGGGAGGCCTGGCGTGCTGCGATTCATGGGGTTGCAAAGAGTCGGACGCGACTGAGCGACCGAACTGAACTGAACTGAACCGAATGTGTTACAGACCATTATAAGGAGTCTGAATTTTGTTCTTCAAAACAAAACAGTGGGACACCACTGAGGGTTTTTAATAGGGATGTGGCCAAATCTGCAACAAATGTGCATTGTTGAAAGGTTTCTTTTAAATGGCAATACTTTTTCTTTGTATCTTACAGAATAGAACAAAGGGCTGCCGTTTGGTCAAAGGAAGAAACTCAGCAGGACTTCCATGAGGTAGGTGCACTCACTGTGTTTTTTATGAAAGTGAATTAGCCAATCATGGAATGTATTATTCTTTTTCCTAGTACTAGAAATTTCCTGGTTAAACCTTTAAATATTCTTGCTCTTAAGTAAACTTATTTTCCTTACAGTGCTTTGGGTACTGTTTCCCCTTGCTCTGGAGCAATTATATTTAAAATATTATTTGCAAGACTAATCACTGTGTCTTGGGCCAAAGCCAAGTCCAGCAGTCATTTCATTACACTTCTTTCAACTTTGCTTCAGGATTGTACTACAGCTGTGAGAGTTAACATTTATAAAATTTTCTCTTAATTTTATTTTATCTTCCCCTCCTGCTTTTTCTAATCCCTTTTTCAGTCTCAAATATGATCTTGCTTACTGTTTTTCCTCGGTGCATGATACAGCTTGGTGTTGCAAAATGGTCTTCTAATAAACTTTGAGACATTGAGGCCATATTTTCCAATTCAAGTGATTTTCCACTGAACTGGACATCACAATGTTAATGTTTTTTCTAGATTTTCTTTGAAATATGTAATTTAATTCTCCCATTGGAAATCACTATAATATAATTAAGGTCCCCTTTTTTTATGAATGCCTTCTCTTTAGTCATTGATTTGGAATACTCTAATTTCTCTTGTCTCATTGTATAATTAAGGAACAGTGGGTGTTATATCTGATTAGGATCATTTTAAAAAAGAATGTAGAGATTTGATGTTCATAAGCCAGGAAGAGAAATGATGGGCTTTAGGCAAATTGTTTGTCATTTTGTGCCATCTCTCCTCTGTCTCCAAAAAAAAAAAAACAGTTGAACTTAGGTGATTATATTTTTCTTTAAACTGTTGAACCTGGCATAAATGAATAACTAAAGGTAAACTGGGTTCCTAATTAAACTCAGTTAAATAAATTACTGAAGCTGTGAACAGTGTCCTAAGGATAACACAGATCCCTGCTTGTTATTCTTTTGTGCATAGTGACAGGTTTCAAATTCCACAATCTCACTTGTGGTAAGAAGGGTGAAAAAAAAGTTTGAGAGAGAAGAGGCAAGAGCTTGAATCAATGAACACAGCTGTTTGCCCCACTGGGAGCTAAGCAAAATGCTAGTTGTAAAGAAGCACCTATTTGTCTTGACATAAGTGAATAGAAAGATGAAGTGATTGTTAAGAGTCAACTTGTGATAGATTTCAAGTTTATGGGAGAAACTCTGATTTGTGAGCTGGAGCCCCATGAGAATGCTAAGATTACTTGAGCAATTCTCAGATCACAATTGCACAAAGCTCTGTATGAAAATCTGTTTTTCTGTATTCCTTCACTCTATTGTGTTTGCACGTTACATGAAATGTGCCAGTTCACTCCCCTGAGAGTACACGGGTACAAGAGTGCTGAATGAAGACAGGCCTCTGAAAGAGCAGTCAGTACCCAATGTGGGCTCTTGCATGAGAAAACTGGTGCTGCTGATCCAGACTTTATAACAGAGTGTGCTCAGGTGGAATTGTTCCAGTAAGGGAGTAAATCATATGTGCAGATCATGTTGTAATTATGATTTAGGGGCTGAAGGAAACCCGAGGAACACACACTGAGGAAACTTGAACAGAAGCAGCAAATGGTCCAAAGCCATGCCAGGAGAACTGACTCATTCAAACTCATTGATGGAGACATCCTATAGAATGAGAACGTGTTAAACTTGATCTTCCCTAGCTTTTCTTAATCTTAGAGACTGCCAAACTCTCTTATGGAAGAACCCCATAATAATATTTCTTTTGGCAACATAGTCTTATCCATAAGACATACAGGTGGGAGATACTACTTTAGTATTTTTAATGCAAATAGAAAATACATATAGAAAAGTGTACGTATTGTAAGTGTACAGCTTGATGAATACTCACAAAGTGTGTAACCAGTGTCAAGAAACAGAACATCGTTAGCATCTCAGGCACCCTTATTTAATTCTTTCCAATCACTCTTCCCCTAGAACAATAACTGTTCTTTGGACTTAAGTAGATTTGTTTTGCCTTTTGTTTGTTTGTTTGGTTTTTGTTTTTGAACTGTGTATAAATGGACTGTATGTACTCTTTTGTGTCTGGTTACATTTACTCAGTAGTATGTGTGAGATTCATGTATGTTTGGTATGTAGTTTTAACTTTGATTCTCCTTGCTGTAACCCATTGTATGGTTGTTTCTAGTTTTTGACTCATGATCAGTTGCTACTAGTTGTAATTTTTTAAAAGAACTATCTTCCAGTCTCTTTGTGCATTTGATATTTTATAGGAGTATTCCTTCTATCTCTGAGTGGAAGTGTAAGGAAGAATGTTTTGTTGTATTAACTATCTTCATTGCTCTTTGCCCCTTTTGTTTAGATACTGCCCCCTCCAAAACATAGCCTTCGAGTTCTTTAAAAGAACTCACTAGTTCCATGTCTGCTCTCTTCCATTCTAACTTGTAAGTCTAAAGAAACAAAAAATCAAGTTTCTTTTCTTTTATTTATTTATTTAGTTTTCCATTTATTTTTATTAGTTGGAGGCTAATTACTTTACAATATTGTAGTGGTTTTTGCCATACATTGACATGAATCGGCCATGGATTTACATGTGTTCCCCATCCCGATCCCCCCTCCTGCCTCGCTCCCCATCCCATCCCTCTGGGTCTTTTCTTTTCTTAAGTCTTTCTTGAATTTGTTACAATACTGATTCTGTTTTATGTTTTGGTTTTTTGGCCACAAGGCATATGGGATCTTAGTTCCCCAACCAGGGATCGAACCTGTACCCCCTTGCATTGAAAGGCAAAGCCTTAACCAGTGGACAACCAGGGAAATCCCCCTAAAATGAGTTTCTTGAGGTTTGTAAGAAGCATAGTCCACAAATATTGCTTTTGTGGATCCTAATGTTGTAATTTTTGGTTATAACAATTTTAAGGTGTCACTGTATTTTCTACAGAGTTCACATCTGGTATTTCATAACTACTTCCTAAGCTTCTTAATTCCACTTACTCAGATGAGGCTCCTCTGTATTTGATTCCAGAGCTAGTAGCTGACCTGAGCTCTCCTCTGTACAGTAAGGTAATACATGATGTCAAATAGCTACCTATAAGCATCCATCTGTGTGTGTATTCCTGATAGCTTCCCAGTGAACTGATAAACTAACTTTTCATTTACACTGGGATGAGTATACATTTAATTCCTGCCAGCTTCACTTTTCTTCTGCCAGTTTTAAGCTCCCAGTTTTTGACTATGGGTCTCTCAATAGGATTTGCCTCTCCACTCCATGAGCTTTGGTGTCTCTGGAACTATACTATAGGAGTTGGTTTCTGGAAAATGGATCGTGTCCATTCTGGCATTGACCTGAGCTTTCCAACTCTGCCTCTATACAACATCTAGAGATTTTATTTGTTGGGGTCCCCTGGATCCTGGTTGGAAATTATCTGTCTCTATAATACATAAGAAGGTTTTATTTGTTGTGGTGTCCTGTATCTTGACTGGAAAATATTTTTGAATTGAGATCTGTTAAAGTCTAATTCACCATAATCCTTGGATTTATTTATCCTCGTCCATATAATCATTAGGCAGTCAATAGTTCAAAAAGTTGCTTGAAGGATAAAGTGAGAAAAATTACTGTTTTCCCTCTCCACATCCTACTAGTTCCCATCACTGGCTTCAGTTTCAATTAGGAAAAAAAAAATAACAGTATATGAAGAAAACTAATGGATCTCCCCTTCCATGAGAAAAGTTACCCTATTGGGTCTTCATATTACTTTTCTAACTCCCAAACTGCATACCATAAATCATCACATCAGCTTCTTTTCATTTTTCATTTGAGAAATTGAGGCAGGTTTTGAATTGGGTTAACTCTAGGAGTGCTTTCAGTTTTAACACTCACTGTTTCTGCTTTTTTCCCCTCCTAGTGCTTATAGGATTTAGTCATAGTTTCCCATGAGGCAAATTGTTTCCCTTTTTGAGTGTATATACACATGTCTGTGTATGGGGCTCCATGTGAAGGGTTTGATTGTCTTTTTTTACCATCCATAGTTTAGCATGTAGATACATTCTGGCATCAAGCCTTGCTAGACATCTAGATGGTACTTACTGTTTTGTTTGAGATGTGTGGTTCTCCCTCAAAACTGTTTTAATTTTGAGAAAATGGTCTAGCAAGAGGCTTCTTTAGGCCCTCAGTTGGCTGAATGGCATTTTTTTCTGTAGGAATAGGCAGCTCTGTTTTTCTATTGAAATACAAACCCAGTCTACAGGGTCAGGGCTTTAGATAAGAATTAACTGGTAGTTTTTCTTCTTCTAGTACGTGGGGTTTTTTTCCTTGTGACTGAAAGTCAATTCAAGCTGGCTTTCCTAAACAACAGGATTTTATTATTCACACACCTAGAACTTTACGGTCAGGATAGATTCCACTCTTGGCTAGATCCAGGGATTAAAGGCTTGTCATGTAGACAGCATCTCTTTCCATTTCAACTCTACTTTCCTATATTGACTTTATCTTTAGATTGACCCCTCCCTGGGGATATGTTATTCTTACAGTTAGTAATCCCAGTGTATATTAGTTTTCTATTACTGTGTAACAAATTACCAGAAGCTTAGCAGCTTCTCTCTTTTATTAGCTCACAGTTGTGCAGATAATAAACTTGGATAGACTCCATTAGACTCTGCTCAAGCTCTCACAAAACTGAAATCACGGCACTGGCAATGATAGATTCTTGTCTGGAGGTTCTGGAGATGAGTCCATGTTCACGCTCATTCAGGTCATTGCCTTAATTTACTTCCTTGAGGTTGTAGGACTGTAGACCCCGTTTCCTTGCTGGTCAGCATCTGGGAGTAGCTCTCAGCTTCTAGAGGCTGCCTATGTTCCTTCTCACCTTGGCCTCTACATCTTTGAGCCAGCAGCACCAAATCCTTCTGTGCTCCAAATCTCTGGTGTTATATTCTACCAGCTAAAAAAAACCCTCTACTTTTAAAAGGCTCACCCTGATTGGATGAGGCCCACTGAAGCAATCTC